GCCATGTATACATGCACGTAATTATGTATTCCATGTATGCATGAACATAATTATGTTTCTCTTATATCTATGCACGTAACTTTGTATTCCGCGTACGCCATCTACATTTACACTCAAGAATACCGTTACATGAACATAGTTGATCGCTTGCGATTAAAAACATGCAGCATTTTTCTTTTGGGAGAACTAGAAACACCGAGGTCAACATATTCGATCCTGTGAACGAATTTCTGAAACTATCGGTATATTACAAACACATTCAGACCGATTTCAAATCGTTTTTACAATGGCGGCAAACACGCCATGTATGTATCCCATGTACACATGTACATACATTATGCACTTCATGTACACATGCACATACATTATGCACTTCATGTACATATGCACATACATTATGCACTTCATGTACACATGTACATACATTATGCACTTCATGTACACATGCACATACATTATGCACTTCATGTACACATCGTGATGACCCGTAATTATAATATAAATTCGAAGGTCGTGAAAATATGATACCTTCAACTGTATGTCTCCTCAGGAAGTGTCATTGACGCTCGCTTGTTTATAATGATTTGCACTCAAACAAACAATGTAGTTACCTTGTCCTGGTACAGTACGGGATTGGAGGTATCTTATATGTTTAACGGCATGGTGTAAGATTTCAGCTTTTTCCATTTTGCCCTAGGGGCAAAAAAACGGTCATTAATATACAGTAACATCAGTGTAGTTTGAACGATATTCGCCATATTAAACATGCAAATCAGTGCTGCAGTGCGACCAACTTTTCCACTGCCTCTCTCTCACACACATAATTCATGATTCAGTTCTTAAGAATATGGCTAACTTATTAAATCACGTGACAAGCACACCCTGTTACATTGTATAAAGTGTCAAAAACGCGGGCACGTGCACCCAAACAAATCAAGCAACACTAAAAAACACTATTTATGTCTGTCAAGCGTTATATTTAAAACTAGTTAAAATACTACCCGGTATTGTTAGTCATCTTTATTTATTTCAAAACACGCAGCTGCTTAAAAATAAAAAAAAAATAAAAAAATTCTTACTTTTCTGTTAGCTGTAGCAGGTATGAGATGACACAGCTCGTTTAAATATTTGTTAATGCGATCCCGTCTTTTCTTCTCAATTAGTTTATGTGAAATGGAATCCTGAAAAACGCATAAATAGGTGCATACATAAGTGTCAGTCTCTATTAGTCCCAGTTAATATAATCACAGACATCCTATGAAATTATGTCCTGATAGATTCCATCCTCTCATATTAACGAAAAACAATACGCATATCACCATAGTTACTATAGCTATATAGATGGTCATTTACTTACCCTCATCTTCTTGTCTAGTATGTACATAGCGGAAGAGGAAGAGTCTTCGTTGTCGAAATGAAATGAGGGCCTGTGATAAAGTTAATAGTAGAACATTTAGCTTAAATATAATATTCAAGTGGAAGATTTAAAACATAGACAGACTTTGTGATATTTTTGACTAAAAATACATTGAAAGTTGCTCGTTTCCAGGTACGCCCAGAAGCAGTTCGGTGTGTTATGGTTACGGAGAAAATACGGCGTACGACATGACCGTCAATGTCATAAATACCAGGCTTTTGTACAAGGTCATATCGACCCCGACCAGACTCGATTCGATGAAGACATTATGCAACTAACATGAATACTGTTTTAACTTGCTATGCCTAACCCTATTTAATACTTATACGTATCGTGGTATATGGTACAATTGTTATTTACCCAATCACTAGAATTACAGGACATATTATCATAGTAGAATATGTACGTGTTCTGCCCTCACACATTATCGTATTTACCTCATTGCGATTAGCTAAGGTAAAGTTTACAGATGCGTTTCATTTCAATGATGCCAGTCGTAACAGTCACGAAGTTCTTGAACATATCATCCGTTGACTACCTGTGTATCACAGACTCCGTGCCAACAAATGACGCAAATACTCAACTTTATGAGTGGTAAACACACCTAAGCCGGCTGACACGTACACACACGTGTTTGTACTTTAGTATATATAGTTTACATTTATGTAAACAAATTGTTGCCAATGTCACTCATTTTAACCGTCAACACATTGCCTACCAACCTGTCTGAGCGTTGAATAATAACAAACAAACAAAATTTGACTTGTCGACGTGACATCTCAACTCCGTGCCACGAGGTATCGTCTGACAAACAGAGTTTCATGATTCTCTTAGTTAGAATCTAAAATTGCTTATACTTTTAATCCAGCCACTCAGCTATCAGATATATTTTCTAATCTTGTATCTGGTCATCTGTCGCGATTGTACGAGCTTCCCGCGCAATGCGTCTTGATTTAAATATCTTCTGATTAATTACTAAATAATATCGTTTTTCAGTATAATTTTGAAACGTCACGTTTATTTAAGACAAAATACTTGTAACTGAAAATGTGTTTGTGATGATTGTATTAGATTTTAAATATAATTTGTTTTCTTGACATTGATGTTTATGCTTTTGACGTTAGTTAGATGAAAACAGCTCATTATTATATATCTCATGAAAATACAAATTTGAAATTACAATATGCGTGTTGAAAATTGGTGAAAATATTTTCAGAAACTTTTTTCTTTAAATGGAAAGATCTGACGTCGTCTTCGTTCCGTGTGAGATGTTACTTACATTTCAAGTTTGATCTTCTTTGGAGGTGAGCCTTCTTCAAAATTGGATTGGTGATCTTTCATCTTTATGTCTAAAGAAACTTGAGAAGAAGCAGCGTAATGAAATATTATATCTATATAGAGACGACTCAGTGCGAGCTTGACGACTGGACACGGTGAGGATCTTTTAAATGTGACCGATGGAGTCTGCTACATCGGTACCAATTGAGTTATCAGTGGCTGGTACTCGAAGGTGCATTATTTGTTGCCTGTCTCGTATCACGCGGCACAGTTTAAACTCACATGCGCTTCACGAACATCGTTGCATTCTTCATATTATAAAAAATAAAATGTTAAATCACTCGTGACGAACGAATGGGTTCTACCATTATGGCGTGGGTGTGGTTGGTGTTGATTGTTAAGAGCGCGTAATTATTATACTTCGTAAATACAATCTCACAAGAGAGTTTTTATTCACGAAGCGGACAATAACTAAGTGGAATGAACTAACTGTACATGGTACCATACTGCTGCTATAATATATTGCAGGTCCTTCTTCTGACAACCCTGCGTGTAATGTAGTCGGAGTTGGTGGACTGAACTTTGACACTGATCAAATCGTTCCGTGATATCGCTATCATTCCACACAAAAAATATCATGGTGTACCCATCACCAAAAAACACGCTGGATAGATTCCAATACCGTCAACATTATTTGAAATAATAAATATAGACCTAACGTGCTTAAAACGCATCAACTAAAATTGCATTCAAGTATAACATTTCCTTATAGGCGTTTAAACACTGTTATTGATTGCAAAAACACACAACTATATTAACTTTAATAATGCCGTCTGTGATTGCGTGTATGTAGAGCCACGCGACTGATATTACGGTACTACACATGTATTTTTCTTCCGACGTTATTAACACTTCTAACATAAATTTGGGGAGGATGTAATTTAAAACTAAATTATTATGCGAATGTTTTTTTGTTTTTACTAGAGCGTGTCCGAATGGTTTACACTAGATCGTGTATCACCTTACCAATCAAGCAAACTCAAAATGCACTTCAATTATTATCGCGTTACACTGGCGTAAAGTGGTTTTAAAATAACAGTTTAAACACCCTTGGAAAAGAAAATCATTACCGGCGTAACTGTTATGATGTGTCGAATGCGGCCTGAACGCCATCACTCGGCGACCATTTACAACAGGTTTTTAAGTAAATTGGTTTCTTTGTTCTTTTGTTTCAATTTAGATGCTTATGTGTTTCCATGCAGTGTGTATGGACGTTGTTATAATCGTGATATGATGCATGGTTTCAACTCGTTTATACTGTATAATATACGGTCATATAAAGTGGCATCTCCATTTTCAGTTTTATGCATAATACCTCCCACTTATTGTTGTGATCACGTGATCATGATGAATGAAAAACAAATGATGACAACAAATCTTGAAATACACTGTAGCAAGCCTAAACAGAAACAATTCGTGTTGGCTAATTTACCAAAACAAACACACTTTTATTGTTGTAATCATTCAAGGCCATGTTTGTATAACTTTTTTTTTATTTTAGGAAATCATTCTAATTTTTAGAATCTGTTTGATAACATTTCCACTGAACAGTACAAAGCCCGAATCCATATGATTCTTACGTGATAACAGTGTAAGTTGAATGCAAATTTAACATCAAATATATATTGTGTGGTAAATATAAATGAATGAAAAGATACACAAAAGACAGATATATCTGGTCATCCGAAACATTGCCTATCTGCAGGTCATGACCATTATGCACGTTATTCAGAGTCGTGATATTTACGATCTTTGTACAAAAAGCTCAGGTGTGAACACATCACGATTAGGAGATCTTTATCTTTTGATTTACCAGTCGCAATTCCAACGGTGTAACTTTTCATTTCTGATGAGACCGCGCTATTACAAAGTGTTACAAAGTGAGTTTGCTATTTTATAATCAACTGATTAAATCTTTGTCCGGATAATAATAGAATATGATGATTATGGTTTGGTAGAAATTCCAGGGGTGGTATCGACCTCCAGTGTCTGTCCGTCAAAGCCATCTACATGATAAGCCGATAGCATAAATTGAGGACGTGTTTAGTATTGTGACACCGGTGAGCGCTTGCCTTAGTGTGCAACTACCTTTTTATTTAACATATTGTGTTTTCTTTCTGTCTTGCTTTATTTTTTTTGTCCACTCGTTAATACAGCCTGTTGCATTCCATTGTCACCGTATAAACGACTCTCTATATACTACGCATTCTAAAACATAAATCGCGAGACTTGAATGTTTCCACTAAAATTTGTATTAATAAACTCTCGTACAATATTCATTGGCCACTGGGTCAAGGGTTAATCGTTTCAAAGCGAGGTTGAAAAAAAGATATCCAAGCTGGTCATGTGGGTAATGTCGTTTATAGAGTGGCCCGAAGAAAATGCTAGAACAGTCGATAATGTTGTCACCCATTGACGCTGCAGGTCGGCATTCTCTCAACACAGTGTCCTTTGTCACCACAACGTGTTGTCACCCATTGACACTGCAGGTCGGCATCCTTTCTTGTGGCGTCGCAACGTGTTGTCACCATGGCAGAGTTCTGCTGTGAATGCCCACGTGGTCACTATAGTCGTTATGATGTCCGTGAGTTATCCTGTTAACACATTACATTAAGTTATAATTA